AAGGCTCTGTCTGAGTAGGCAGAAGCTTCACGGAACCGACAGTGAATTGTTCTCTCAAGGCCGAAGATACAATTTGGCTGTGGCTGCATAGCCCAGTGCTCTTAACATGCAAACGACCAGCAAAAATAATGATATGTCAAGCATAATTTTCTTACCGGCCACTGACATCGTAAACTGTAACACAGTATAATTATTTGGCATCCCGTGTCCTTCATACTAAGCACCCCCCAAATGATTTCCAAGTTACAGGGAAGAGGGAAGGTTAGAAGGTCAAATTTAAAGAGAGAAAATGAGTCAGTGCCTTGGAGGGAGAGAATTATAAATAGATGTGGCATCTCCAGTGAGTTATATCCAAATAAGGAACTGCTCAGAAGCCCAGGTAGGAGGGAAGAAGGGAGGAAAGCGAGCTGGGGAGCTTATGTAAGAGAGTGGATTCATGATAGATCTCTGACCACCTGGACAAAAAAACGATTTTTCCCAAAATAAAGCAATGCAAGGAACTAGGATCACAGAATCACAGAAAAAGAGCTAAAGGTACTTGGGCCAAAAATCAATAATTGTTTCCCACATTTTTTTTTTATATTGCCTCTATTCCTTGTTATATAGGGATTTGTGTCGTAAATAGAATTCTATCATTCACCACACAATTACAAGTGTATATTTTGTGTACTTTGTGCTGTAAGCACAAGCGTAAGTTTGCAGATGGATTGGAAGATAATGGACTCACTACCCTGCAATGGCCCGTGCCACTGGTAAGGGGGACAACCTCATACCACTAGTAAGGGGGACAGCCTCCACAAAGGGGATCCTGCAGCCTCCGCAGAGACCTGTTTAATAAGTTAACTTGTCCACTATCAATAACTCAAAGAAAAGATTTTTAAAATCAATATACAGAAACAATGTTTAAACTACTCAGCTGGTCTATAAAACAATAAGATGAAAGAGAGAACATGAAAACAATGCGTTGGTCCCTTTATTGAAAAATACCATTTATAGTAAATCTGGTTGAGCCTATATTACTTTTGTAAATTCCTCTATTAGGTGAATTATTCATTCATTTATTCATGCAAAATATTTACGGAGCACTTCCTATATGCAGGTCCTGGGGATATATAGTGAAGAACAAAGAAGATAAAAATCCTTTCTTTATAGAATTTGAATTGTAGTTGAAAATAAATCATAAACAAGATAAAGTATAAAGTATGTGAGATGATGATCATCAGGAAGACGAAAAAATAAACTATAGTCAAAGGATATGAAATATTGGAGACGAGACAGTTATATTTTAGACAAAATGGGACAGTCTTATTCTCTACAAGTAAGACTTTCAGCTTTATTTTAATTCAACAAGAAACATATGGGCTTATGCTGCTTCTGACCCAGGGGACCCTCGGGAGTACCACCCTACCCCCGTGACGTTGCATAAGCTCATCCAGCCAGGGCCTCTAACTTCCCATTCCTTCCTATCTCACCAGACTAAGTGACAGTTAACCTTCAATACACTCCTGGACATCACCTTCACCCTAAGTAACCCGGGCTAATTGAAAGAGCTCTGCATTGGGCTCCCAGAGTCTTACGCTCACCTAGTGATGTAATTATCAGTTTGTCCACCAGTTCAACTAAACATACACATGCATAATTGTATAATTAATATAATCATGACTGTAACTATTAGGAGCTACGCATACATTTTATTTACTCTTACACAATCTTATTTATTTGATTCGGGTAACCTTTGAAGAGTTTTAGTAACTTTCCAGGGTTAACACCCAGAAAATGGCAACACCAGCATTCAAATCTCTGGAGAGTGCATCTCTAAGACGTTGCTCTTTCTTTGCATCCAGCCACCTACTAATATAGTAAACACAGACAATGTATGATGGGAGGGTATCTGTGAAGCTCTGAAGAGTCACTCACTCAACAATTGGCTCTGTCCTTGGGCTTAGACTCCATCTGCCAGACCCAGGGCCCCCACCATGGGGACTTACAGGAGGGTGTTTTAAAGAGCAGATACGTTTAGAAGTAACTGATGCTTCTCAGCCAGTTCCCGGGCTAAAGCTCATTGATGAAGTGGTTTAGAGTCAGATGTGGAAGAGTGTGCACAGAGATAACACATTGTAAAGCAACGGGGGCCACCCCGATATAGATCCCCACACTCCACCTGCCTCGTAATCAGAAGTAGTCACCTGAAACACATTTTTGGCTTCCCGACAATGCGAGATCCTTAAAGGCTAAGCTGTAATGATTCAGGGGCCATTCTCTTTAAGGGGAAATATGTATGATGGGAAATATTTGCAGAAAAGTTCTTCAGAAAATAAGTTTAGCTCTGATTTGACAATAGTTTGGGAA